CGGGCTGGAGACTCAGCCTTGCACTTCGGGCCCCTTTGGGCCCCTGCAGTTGGGTTCCAGCAGGGCGCGGGCATTGACCTAAGGTCCTGGTTCTGCTATCCCTCGGGTGAGTATCTGCAGTGGGTGGAGCAGGGCCGCCGTCAGGCAGGGCTGTCTGTGTGGGGGGCGGGAGGTCCTGACCTCTTCCAGCGTGCTCTCACCAGAGCTTGCCCACCAGATAGAGTGCCTTCTGTTTCTGCACTTTTTCCCTACCCAGCCTGGCTGCCCAGGTCCCAGCTCAGGCACTAAGGGGTTAATGAGGGGCTGAGAGGTCTGCCCCACCCCACCCCCACCCCGCTCCTGTCCACCTCAGACTCAGAGGGCCCAGGATCTCCGGACAGCAGCCAGAGACCCAGGAGGCTCACCTGGAGTATCCAGAAGCTCCAGGATTTTTCACTTTCACTTCTTTCTCCTCAATATTGGTTTCACCGGTGGACTCCACATCTGCCTTCACGTGTTCGCCCAAGTACACACGAAAATCTCCCCAGGTGCACAGGACACCACCACCACCAGCACCCCCACGTGCCGGGACAGCACGCATCCCAGGTAGCACACAACATGCACCCCACAGCCACCTGCAGGGTGGATGCAGACCAGCAACAGGTACTCCTGGTGGCCGCCCTGCACACCTCTTTGGGTACAGACCACCAGCACTGGGCTCACCTCCTGCAGCTCCACCATGACCCACTCCCACCTACTACCCCCAGCTCCACCCAGCTCTCCTGGACCCTGCGCAGCTCCAACCTGGGGTTCTAGAGGCAGAGGAGCAGGGACTTGGCTGGTCCCAGGATGGCACTCCTCCCTGGGCCTGTCCCTGGGTGCCACAGATCGCTGTCACTGTCACAGATCCAGACGGCCACTCAGGCCCGGGGCGTACCCTGGCAACAGCTCCTCTTTCCCTGCCCAGTCCACAAAGCAGCAGCTGTGGCCTGGGGGTGGGGCAGGGGCTCACTGCACATGAGGTGACCCACGCCCACCCCTTCACACAGCAGGACCCCCATACTCACCTGACTCCACTCCAGCCTCGGACTCTTTACTGGACCCTAGGCCCGGGAGCCAGGCACTTCCTGCGGGAGCCCACTCCCAGGTCCCCAGTTCCTGGGCCTTCCTGCCCAAAAGCAAGCACCCCCTCGGCCAGGGGTCTGAGGCCCTGGGTTGTAAAAACCCTGAGAGAGGCTGCTGCCTCCCATCTAGATCCAGGCAATAGCAGGCGAAAACCTACGAGAGGCTTTGGAGTGGAGGCCTAACTTCCAGAGCTTCAGCGCAGGGCCAGAGAGGATCCTGGGAGCAGGGAGGCTTGGAGCCCCACTGGGGAGACTCTGGATGGCAAGGCCAAGGATGCCCTGAACTGGGCAGAGGAGGCCCAGAGGCAGGAGGTCGGGGAGGCACAGGCCAAGTCAGGCCCTAGCATCCTGGTTGCCTGGGCCTGGAGGCCAGAGGCCTTGCTCTGCCTGGCCTAACTGGG